TCCTGACGAAAAAAGTTTGAACTTGCTTTTAATGATCGGTATTTAAAATAGCACGTCAAAATATCATCGGATCCAGATCTATTACATGCATGGATTGATATATTAGAATTAGAAATCATAGTTGTTGTTGATCTCCGTGTAGGTAGTGAACATTTCCCGAACGATGATCTGAAACTGATAGCGTCATGATAGCGAAACACATTTGTCGTGTCGTTATTCGTCTCCTATGGCTAATAATCAACAGATCAACCCTCATGAACGTATTAAATCCCTAAAACTAGAATTAGCATAATTATGTTTGCAATTAGAACCACCTGGTCTTGAAACATTTAAATTTGCTAATGATGCGGTACGACTTTATACAGGTTTGCCAACTTATTAATTCGCTAAGAGTATTCTTTTCATTAAGAAAGCCGAAATACTATTCGTGTTGAATCATCACGATCACGTAAACTAGATGAGTCACAATAGTTATTACTCGTTATGATGAAATTAAGATTAGGTGTTCCGTTTCTGAAGCTGTCGAAACTTTTTCGAATTCGAGAAAGTACTGCGTCACGATATTTCAGTGATTGGATTAATTTTATGTAAGGCGTTCCAAATTCAAACATAAAGCACTGTTTTACTTTTGTCCTATCATACACCCCTCGATAGAGCTCAACGAGCTGATCAAGAATATTTACATCTTAGCTTTAAAAAGTTGGTTTTTGAATGAAAAATCTTCAAGGTACTAGAAGGGTCTCGAATTTCGAAAAACCCTTCCGCTTCAAAAAAATTCAAATTTTTTTCATAGTTGCTCTTCTAACTTTTCGAAAGTATCTTTTTCGGATCCAGCATTAAAAACTGAGTATGAGAATAATGCCTGATCGAGGTTGAAGTCAAAGGTTCATCCAGTATGGACGTCTTGGACTCCCTCTGTAAAAAGCGCCTAAACAATTTTGCAAACCGATCTAGTTTTTTCCGTGAAGAGATGAAGCCGACCTTTTTATTTCATTAGAACCGTCATTAAACGAGCTTTAAAAGTATGTATCGCTTTTTTTTAAAATTGTTTTGTTCCTGAGTTAGTACATTTTTCTGAACCAGAAGCGAAAAAATCGGAATTCTGCTCGTAATTCTCAGTTTTCTCCCCCAGAACTGACATTCTGTGCAGTAAAAATGTCATATTCGGAACTGACGTCGAGAACCGAGTCGAATGATATACTTTTTTATTCCATTCCCATACATTCTCATTCATCTCGAATAACCACGAAGTCTACATTTACAACGCCAAAGTTATAATCAATTTTATGGTTGTAATGTTTTAAAAGGTTCAGATGGTATTGCTCCTACAACTGATTTTCCGGTTATATTTATATCACAGTTATATACGGGCTCTGTTTCGGACAAAGAACTAACTATGAGGTTCGAAACAGATACAGTGCCTTATCCAGCACAGTCGATAATAATAACTGATAAAGGATTTCTTTGAAAAGAAACAGGACAGGAATAAAAATGAAATATTTTAACGCCTGATTTTCTTTAAGTATCAGCTTACTATCATCACCAATATTTAATTCTTCATCAGATGTTGTTTCAGGTGATTCATAATAGAGAAATACGATAATATGATCAATATAAGATTTTTCTAAATCTTTCGTTGATGTTTTTGCCCATTCGTCGTCATTAAGTAACAACATCGTTAATATGTTCTCTTTCTTCTTCTCTCATAAATTCTGTTTGACAAAGATTGACAGAAATATTATTTTTTCCTTCACTTTTTACATCCTCTCTTTTACAATGAGATATTAAGAGCAAACGGAAAGCTTGGAAAAGATACCTTTTTAAGCCGTCGGTTAATGAAATTCTATTGCAAGTTTTATTCGGTATATCTTGGAATGATGAAATTGTTCAGGTAAAACATTTTCTCGAAGTACAGCATATTGCTCAAGCGAATGAAATTCAACTAGATGCATCTGCTACATTTCATACCGCATCCTGTGGATGACGCTGGTTTCCCATATGGTAAAGAAGGCTTTGCGTAACGCACTGAAGATCGGCTTCTAGGCAGCCAGATCTCCAAAAGCAAAATCTCTTGTACTTGTCAGTTTACAGAGCACATCAGGTTACCAAAATCCATAACCTTTCATCGACTCTTAGACGTATAGAGTCAATATATAGCAGCGTCGTAACAGTTCGCGGCTAGATTGAACAGAATCAAAAAGCTCTAACAAGAATTGTAAGTAAAATGACAGAAGAAATTAACCAACCTTAGATGTGAGAACGGATTCAGATAAGTTAGAAAAAACAATAAAACGTCTCCTTGTGCTTCAACAATTTCACACTTTCACTTATTTTTATCGTTTTCTTCAACTTCCTCTCGAATTCACGGACTTATCTGACGATATTTCTGCTGAATCTGAATCTGCTATGACGCTGTTAGTTCGATATAACAACGGAAAACGCACGATAGTTAGTCCAATTTTTATTTTCGAGATTATGTAAGTTTGCAATCACAAATTACAAAAACAGAATTTGATTTGATAGGCAGAGTAGTTTCATCCTTCTGTTTTATCTAGTTTGCGTTCCAAATAGTGTATATTTCACTTTTAAAAATGACTCATTGAAGACCCGAAACGTCAAGATAAGTTTTTAAGTTTAATTATCAAATAAGTGACTGCTGCTATAAAAAGATCTATTTTTATTCACCTATTGACTCTAGATCGTAACAATGACACAAATACAATACAATGTGGAGTATTCTTCGACGAGAACGTCATTCAAAAACCAGTATTTTTGGCAGAGACTCTCTTCCAAATCTGTAGAAGTCGCTATGGCTGAGTGGTTATGTCGTGCGGCACGTACTTCAAAGGTACCGTGTTCGAACCTCGGCGCCACTCAGCCATAGAATAACCTTGGACAATTTAATAACGGCTATTGTCTCGAATCACCCGTCCGATAGCATGCTCACTACGTTGTGACATACACCGGTACTTCGGTGCTAGTATGTAGTTAGTGAGTGTGTATGGGGAGCTCGAGCAATTGGGCGACAAGAACTTTGTGTCAGGCTGGCCTTCTGTCCAGAGCTACAGCTTGCTTGGTGACTAGTAGAAGAAGGGTGACCATCTCTCAAGATCATCAACTGTAGGGAAGATATTGGGCTTATCGAAACTGCTTCGGCAGCACCCTGTACCGCAAGGCGGGGTCTTCTTCCTTCCAAATCTGTGTCACAGATACAAACTAATATTTCTTATAGATCCCGACAAGCTAAATAGAAATACGATCACACTTTGAATTACGATAGAATGAGTTCTACGAAACTCTCATTTCATTTTCTCCAGTACTTTGACCAGCTATTCTTTTCCAGTCGTGTATCATGTATAAAAACGGTTGATTGCAAGCTCCGTCGACTGAGCGCACTGGGTCTGTGAAACCATTTATTCAATGTCCTAGAATCTACCCCTATTTTTTCCCCGTTAATGCAGCGAATCTTCGGCAATACAATTAGCGATACAAAAGTAGGAACAAAGGGCGTGTGAAATACAAAAAAAGCATAGCAAGTCATTGTGCTTGTATGAAAAAGTGCTTATCATATTGTATGAATGCTGCCTTGTGAAGGCACTGATTATGCAATGCAATCAAATTTATTTTTCTTCTGTTCTTTTGATTACACTAGGAACGATTTCTCTTTCTTCCTTTCTGTGTGTAGAGTGCCACTTAGCTTTTCGAAGTAAGAACAACACTCAAAACGTTTTTATTTTATTTTTTACCCTCATAATACCATCTGCACATTGTATGCTGAGTGAGTGATCTCTCCTTATGTAGCATGTTAATCAACGCGCACACAGGAAATTTTCCTCAGAAGAGTGAAGAGAGGACATGTCAAAACAGTATGTTAACGTAGCATATGATATCTCCTTTCTCATGCGTATTCGACTATAGTGAAAGAGAGCCAGAAGCACTTGACATGTCCCCTATACCTGACTATCCAGAGTGTCGGAAGCGAAAGAAGTTTCATATAAGAATCAGGTTTATGCGACACTCGAACAAGATCTTTGATACAAACAGCAGAGTCTATTGGAATTCTAGCGCCATTTCCATATGTTCATGAACATATGGAAATGGCAAATTCATGGGCAACACAAGCAATACTATTATCATTCCGTTTTCTCGGAATAAAACTCTTCGTTCCCTATCTTGAATAAGCGATCAAATTCATTCGTTTGGTCTTAACACATCCATCTGAAACAACATCACTTTTGACACAAGATATTGTTGTTGCGTATGGATAGTGTACACGTCGAACCAATATGCTCTTCAACTTAAAACCTAATAGAACACTGTTCATTAAAACTGCAGCAAATTCTTGTAGATATTAGAATGGTCACCAAACATCCTGATCAGTCAGCGATGAAATCGAACAAGAAAAAAATAAGAGAAATACGCAGAACTAACTTCGAGACGTTTTCATTATTGTGGCTCGATGCGAATGTTGATGCCACCATAGAGAACAGAGAAACACAATCACAGCTACGGACATCAATCAACTTTCTCAAGACATTCCAATCAGCCGATGCTTGTCAAGAGTACATTGAACAGGTGAAGGACGAGAGAGTTGTGTTGATTGTCAGTGGAGGATTGGGACACCAACTCATACCAAACATTCATCATCTCTCTCAACTATCGGCCATCTATGTCTACTGTTTGGACAGAGAGAGAAACGAGAAGTGGGCGAGAAACTTCAACAAAGTAAATGCTGCTCTTCTCACTTCGGATGACATTCTCTTGCATTCTCTCCACTTCAGATCAAAGGCGTGTTCGTGCACTCGGATGAGTTAGTCAATCGAGTATCAACTGATCAGCGAGTTCGATCACGAACAGAAGAGTCAGTGAACAACATCGCTGTTTATTCGGTGAGAGATGGACAAAGTGGTCTTGGAGGCACCTTTCTCTGGTTTCAACTGCTCATCGACGTCCTTCTGCGTCTTCCTCATTCAACTAGTGACATTCAACAACTGGTCATCATGTGCAAGGAGAGCTATGCCGATAATCCACACGAACAAGCGATGATTCGAGAATTCGAAAGAGACTATCGTCCACAAAAGAGTATTTGGTGGTATACTCGAGACTCTTGTCTCTATCGGATACTCAACAAAGCTCTTCGACTTCAAGACATTGATCTTCTCTTCTCAATGAGATTTCTCATCAAAGATATTAGTCAACAGCTGAAAGATGAACATCGAAAGTTCATTGAGAAAAAGGGTGTGATGCGAGTGTATCGTGGTCAAGCAGTGGCGACAGAAGAGATAGACAAGTTGAGATGTGGAGAAGGACAGTTGATTTCATTTAATAACTTTCTCTCAACGAGTCTCAACAGAGATGAGGCAGTAATGTTTGCACGTCAAATTGTTTCTTCTAACACTTTGCAGCGTGTGTTCTTCGAAATCAAAGTGGATACTCGACTCGAGACTCGTGCATTTGCTGATATCACTGACATGAGCTTCTTCCACAATGAGCAAGAAGTTCTCTTTACTCTGGGCTCTGTGTTTCGACTTGAGAATGTCATGTTCGACGACAGAGAGGCGTTGTGGTGTGTCAAGCTCACACTGTGTAATGAAGATGATCAAGATATGAAGGACATGTATGCGTATCAGAAGAAGAGTGTTGGTGGAGGAGATGAACAAGCCAGTCTCCTCTCACTGGGTTTCCTATTGCACAACATGGGTGAATATGGGAAAGCGAAACAATACTACACTCGTGTATTGTTTGAGTTGGGCGATGATGATATAAATGTTGCTGTGTGTCATCAGAGACTCGGCGAAGTAAGTGGTGATCAAGGAGAATATGATGTTGCACTCGATCATTTGAAAGTAGCCGTGAAACTGCACAAGAAGTTTCAACATGCACATGACACACTAGACATTGCTAACTGTTATTATTGGATCGGCCACGTGCACAGGGAGAAAGAAGAATATGAAACAGCGCTTTCTTACTTGAACAAAGATTTGGCTATAAAACAAGCGAAGCTTCCTGCTGATGATGTTCAAACTGCCATGACTCTACGTGAAATCGGTAATGTTCACTATTACCAAGGGGATTATGATTCTGCCTTGTCTTATCATCAGCGTGCTCTTGTCATGTACCAGAAGGTGTTGCCCCCGACTCACTCTTCTATATCAGCTAGTCTGGCAGATACTGGCAATGTGTATCTCGACAAGAAAGAGTACGATCGAGCTCTCGATTATTACAATCAAAGTCTCCAGTTTAAACGAAAGTCACTTCCACCCGATCATCCGAATGTAGCTACCACGTACTATTCGATCGGTTGTGTGTATGAAGAGAAGAATGATTCGACGAGAGCTCTGGAGTATTTCGAGAAGTGTCTCGTCATTCGGAAGAAATCTCTCCCACCATCTCATCCGGACATTCAATGGGTGAGTGACAGTATCCAACGGGTGCAATCGAAGTAACATTTGGTTTATTTGCATGGACTCAAACACTTGCTTTCTTATAATTTTGGGCACTGCTAATTATAGTGGCAGAATAGTCTGCTTTCTTGACTTCGGATGGATCTCGACGGGGGTGCTTGGTTTATACTGTAAACTTTACAGTGTCTGTAGATTGTTCGTCACAATATGATTAAAAATCGGAAGTATTGTTTAATCCGTTTTGAGAACTCTGACGAACCATAGTGCTTATAAAACACAGTTGTGTTGAGCGACGACGGTGGCCCCTTGTGGTCGTGATATAAAATATACAGCGATGGCATACATTATCTTCCAGTTATCGAATATGGAAGATGTGTGGACAAAGTGTCTAAAGACGAATTGACAAATCGCAATTTTAAGCGTAAAAATGATGCAACAAATCGCATTTTACGCTTATTTTGCGAATTCATGCGAACTGTATCGAATTCTTAAGGATAGTCTTGAAAACTTTTACGAATTCATCGTACGAATAGATCCAACACAATGCTGATCAGCTCGCAAATAATTCGTAAAATTAGTCTACGAATTCGTGTTCACTGCTTTTAGAACTAGATTAATTCGTATTACGAACTGATCTAGCGGTTGAAATGGATCCTTGAATTCGCAAATCCACTCTGTGAATAATCCAGTTGCGAATCGATGTATACGCTCATTAGGCTGAGTACGAAGTCTCAAACCGATTTATCGAATTCGTCAGTACTAGTTTCAACAAGCACAAGAAGCATTTCTGCGAGGTTAAGAATCGTCTCTTCGCATCGATTCGCATAGTTCTCAACTCAATTCGCCGGTATTTTTTCGAATTTGTAAAATACGAGTTGATGTCAAGGACAAGACACATTTCTCTGAGGTTAAGAAAAGTAAGAATCGTGACCCGCATTGATTCTCTTGAATTGTCAGCCCAGATGAAAGTCTCTTTGAACTTTGTAAAACACACCATTGGAAAGAGCATATCTGAAAATCTATAAAAAAAGTGTTTATAGACTTTCGGACTGCTTCTATAGCAAATGTTCGCCTAGTCTATGGAAAAATGCACACTGTGCCCCTCCCCCGCCGCACATGCACTCAAAAAGGAGAGAGATTCCTGTCTATTTTGTTTCGCACAGATACATGTATCAATGCAAAATCATCGATGTCTATTTTATCGTCATTTCTACCATGTTATTCATTTCCCATTATCGGTAGCATTTTACAATAGAAATATTTAAAACTGCGAACATCAGTTCGTATTTTACAAATTCGTACAAATAGCGGCGAACTGATATGAGAGCTATGCGAAGAGGCGATCCTATTTATGTTTACCATAGGGAAAAATCTTAAAGGTAGAACATCAGTTCAGACGATTCTTTGTTTTCTTAACCGAATAGAAAACTTTCTTGCTCTTGATATCAATTCGCATTTTACGAATTCGTAAAAATAACAGCGAATGGAGGTGAGAACTATGCGAATCTATGCGAAGAGGCGAATCTATCTATTTTTAACCTCATAGAAAACTTTCTTGACAGTAAAATGCGAATTTACGAATTCGTATACAAATTGTTAGCGACCAAAAAAGATCATTTCACGAATTCGTTGATAGTCGACCAATTCGATTTACAAATTCGTTGATAGTCGACCAATTCGATTTACAAATTCGTGGGTACCCGAAATTTCTTTCCTACGAATTCGTCCCAATTTACGAATTTGCAGAAGGAACAAAAGAGGCACCTTTTTGTAAAATGTATCATTATTGTATTATTTCTACGCTCAGAAATTGCGATTCGTCAATTCGTCTTTAGACACTTTGTCTACACTAATGCTGATAGGGCTTAAATACCGTCCTTCTTACCGGTACTTCGTCCCGTACTGAACATGTTCATACATTCTTCTAAGCTAAGAGAAATCGAAAAATGTTTTTGAAGTCTATATCTTCTCTTGTTATCCTTTATATACAAGCAGACATGTACGCCGATAAAAAGTTTTCAGCGGCGGCGAATGAAATTTTTACCATAGGCGGCGCGAGGTTATAAAAGTTTCCTCCGCCTCCGGCGACAGCGTGTAAAAATTGGTTATTGGTGGGACCAATCTCATAATTTGAGTAAAACAACATTCACTTTCATTTTAAAACAGTTTTTCTCCAATGTCAGTGGCGGCGGTGGAAGTCGCAACAATTTTTCTCCGCCTTCAACGGCGACGGCGCGTAAAAAATGGCCGGCGGCACCGAACCGGCGCACATCTCTATATACAAGTACTAAATGCAAAGCAACAGAACTGATTGACTCCTCAGTCACTTGTAGAAGTAAGACGGATGAGGGTCTTACAGAAACAAGCGTCTTTAAACAAGGCCAATCAGACTATTTGAGGCGGATAGGATATACCGGATATTTTTTTAGAATGTCCTATTACATGCTCGAACGAACTCAGCAATAAGACTGGCTTATAGTCTAGATACAAATTAATCTTTTTTTTGTACTGGCTCGCCGGAAAAACACTGATCATATGATTCAGATCGATAATGACCGTATTATGACTGATAGTGGTCAAGTTCGTCGAATGGTATACGAAAATCATCTGCTGATTCAATTTATGATAGACATTTTGTGAATAGTCTTTTAGTATAATCGTCGATCGTTTGTTCATTCGAATATTCATAGATTATTAGACTGATATAAGCTGAATGTTGTTCTTATTGCATGTCTGTTTAATATTTCTCGTCTTTGTTTATTTAGCCCTTCTTATAGAGAATTTAATTCTTTAATTCTTTTCAAGGAATACTGGCACAATTCTCAGCCAAATTGCAACAGATAAAGCTTGACGAGCTCCATCCTATGACATGTCAAAGTCTCAAGTAAAAGGAAGCGGGAGTTTTCTAGTATTTTCATCTAATAGACATTCATTAGGCTATGGAGCCTATCGAGCCTACTTTAGATGAGCAGCTCGATGAGCAAAGCTCACAAGTCTTGAACCTGTTTTACGTGGAGGATCATAAAGCTTTACACACTGTTGCCCATGCCTTGCAGAAAGTGAAAATCTGTGCAAGTTCTTTAAAGATTCCATACTTCTTGAAATTTTTTGATCAAGATCTTTATACAGAATTTTCAAGATTACTGCGGATCCGAGTTTGACATATCTTCAAAATTCTGTATCAAGATCTTGGAAAGATTTGCGAACTTTCCTAAGCTCATTAATGTAATTACTAATTAGAAAATTTAGTTCGATATTTGGACATGGTAGCCACGGTCGTCAAAAACGGTATTATTAACGTACCGTAAATGTTCTATTAACTTTTTACACCGTTCTTACGCCGTTTTTACACTGTTTAACTGCGGCCGTTTTTAGACCGTTTTCGGTGCACATTTCAAACTTCAGTATTTTGCTCATGAACTGGAAAATATTATTTTCTGAATTTTTTTCAATTTTTGGACTCCTTTGATCCATGATTTACTAGTCTCAGGAGTATGGTACTATCACTAGTGCACGTCTATGCAATAAGTCTACCCTCCAGACAAGCTTCGATGCTTTATACAGTAGAGGAAGAGAAAAATTCTAAGTTATAACTTCGATATAGATATAACGGATGGCCCAGATAAAACCGGCCACTTTTGTTCCTTATTCCCAAGTCCCACTGGTATAAAGAGTTGGTTCTAGGCTCATTCGATAGAGAATGGAATTCTCCACAAACCTGCTATTTAAATCTCTGCAGCCAGATCTAATTTCGCACGTTTTCAAAGACTTGAAAATTTTTTGCACGTTTTCACTAATCTTTCAAAGTGTAAAATGCCGAAAGTTGCAAGACAGAAAACTACTAATCGTTCCTTAGCTAGTAAACGTTGGTCGGATAAAAGTACGTCTAGAGAATATGAAAAATCGTCATGTGAAACAGAAGAAAAAATAACAATCAAACCAGATGATGAAATGGAGCACATTGACGAAGAAATCCTTCAATCGTAAATGACATCATTGATTTATTTTCTTTTTGTAAACAAGAAATCAACACCAGATTCATTAGTACAATGTTATACATGTTATTATGTTTTTATTTTGGCCACACTTGGAAAGATATTGACGCTTTTTTAAGCTAGATTGGCGGCATGAGAGCACTCACATCGCACAAATGGACAAATATTTTGGTTAATAAAGATTTTGATGATTTTACAAAAGATGATAGAGGTGAGCAGCGCGACTATTATTTAACTTGATCGAAAGAACGTTTTTCTGTTCGTCAATGTGCTCCATTTCATCATCTGGTTATTTTTTAATCTGTTATTTTTTCTTCTGTTTTACATGACGATTTTTCATATTTTCTAGACGTACTTTTATCCGATCAACGTTTACTAGCTAAGGAACGATTAGTAGTTTTCTGTCTTGCAACTTTCGGCATTTTACACTTTGAAAGATTAGTGAAAAGGTGCAAAAAATTTTTAAGTCTTTGAAAACTTGCGAAATTAGATCTGGCAGATGGTATTTTTATCGCTCTTTGGTCTGGAAATCTGTTGTTGATTAGTGTTTACACTGTCCAATCACATCTCGCAGAATGATGGCGCTTCATTTTAGTCGGCTTTTCACGATGAATAATTATAGAAGTGCTAAATGTCACCACTTCGATCAAATTCGCGATGAAAAATAACCTATTTGAACTAATATTGACGAAATCTGAATGAAAAATGAATTTTTTACAAAAATGACTTGGCCGATTTTGAGGTGTTCCTGAAGTTGACTCTCTTTCTCGGCTCAAGAAAAGAAAAAAAGCGATGCGAATTTTAGAAGCTCGTCGAACGGTGGTTCGAATGGCATATGAATGAAGGGCTAGGTCTCAACCAAAAAAACTAGATAGGTTTAGAAAATTAGGTTGTGCAAAATGAGCATTGCTAATGAAGAAATTTCTGTACCGGACATATAATATGCGAACTGGTGCTAGACCACACGATTATAACCATTTCCATACGAGAAATCCGGATATCACATTGGCAAGTTCGAAAAGTAAAGTCGGACGGAGCTAGAGCAAGGTTTCTGTACTGCAAACTTTTTTTGATTTTTGAGATCTTTACAGTATTTTGCGTTCTCTGTCGTAAAAACTCGGCCCAATCGAAAAGATAAGGTCAGATTCGTCGAAGGACGCGTCGAAGGACGCATCTAATGATGTGTGTTTTATTGAAAAAGCGAATCTACTAAAACTTTGGATTAGCGGCGCCTTACCTTGATCAAGTTTTTTCTAGACAGATTCTGTAACAAAACTTGTCGACAATCTTGAACTGCAAGATGATCTCAAGATCTTGTCAGATATCGATAAATCTGCGCATCTTGAAAGATCTGAACAGAAACTTAACAAATCTTTCAAGTTTTTATCACGATCTGCAGTCAAGATTGGTTACTTGGGTTGTTTGGACAACAACGCAAAAATATCGATATTGTTCGGCCACAATGCTGATGATAGCAATGGGTTTATCGACTATCGTGTATAATGGTGGATACTGTGAACTAAGACGTTTTTCAGAGCAGTGTTTTGGCTTGGAAATTTTGCTATTACATCAACCAGTGTTTTATTCGTTTGGATCGAAAAAACCTCGCTAGAAACTTTTAGAACATCGAACTAAACCTACACTAAAAGCAGACTGGTGAACAATCATTAGTCGAATTTCTTATGTTGAATGTAATTATTGCACAAAAACAGATCAACTGCAGAACAGTATAGGAAGTTTTCTTTGTACAATGAAAAAAATGATGAGTATCGCCAAAAATGATGAGGTCGCCAAAGAATTCATTAGTGATCACACACACAGAAAATGATTTTATTGGTATGCAGGGGAGAATATGAAACTGAACATTCAGGAACGTATCGCCGATTACTTATCTTGAAATAGCATTATATTACTTTTTTTCATAATTTTGTAGCTGATAATCAAGCGCTTCATGTTTTCTAGACGAGTAACACTAATGCACTTTAGTACTTTTTTGAAATATAGAGAGTTTCGCCTAGCAACAGTACCGAAGCAAATACATGATATATTAATTTATAATTCTGTGAGTCCTTGACTTGATTAAAAAATTAACACATTAAGCTTTGTTCGTTGTAGAGTTTGTTAAGAAAGTTTTTGCACTTGGAAAGTCCACGGAAACAATATAATACAACCTTTTCTGTTCTCGTTACTATAAATGTGTTTTTTCGATTTTTTTAGCAGTTTTAAATAAAATATAAAGAAATAATGATTTATGGAAGCATATTGATGTTCATTTCGCGTTCTGTAGCGGAAAATGTTTTGAACTTGACAATAACTCGAAAAGTATTTGTTTATTGTTGGCATTTTATGAAAAAATACGAGATGTCTTGCTTCTTCAAGGTATCCCTTAAACGGGTAGAACAAAGTTATGATGCTACAATGTAGGAATTATCAAAACTAAAAAATCGAACTAATCTGTTGCCTTGAAAGAACAGAAAATAGAACGATGAAATCTGTCTCAAATGGTCACCATTGAACCTCAATTGTTTGATGATTAAACGACCCCTCAGTGTTTTGAGCTATAGCAACTGTAATAACCAGCCAGAAAAATTATATACTGAGATCAGGGTGTATATAATTCAAGAATTGTAAAAGGCCATTTTCATAAAACTAGAAAAAATGAAATAGAAAGTAAAATTAAAAGAAACACACGAATAAAACGGTAAAATACAATAAATTCATAAAAATATCGCTTTTGTTTTATAAAACTCCACTAAAACGTTTATCTTATAAATGTCAAAATATAGTGGAATTTTGGATACTGAATCGAATCGTGCAAGAACATTTCATTAATTGTAAATCGATGACAGATGATTTTGTCCTTGTTGCTCTCGTAAACATCTGAAAGGACAAAGAATAAACAACAGTTGTTATCGTACGTAGGGCACAATGAAGGAAAGGCCTTTTATTCAACTCAAAAAAAGAGTATCACTGACTTCCAACTTCGTTGTTTCTATTTAATGCTGTAATGTTTAAAGTACAGTATGTCATGATCACTTCCCAGAGGCACTACCTCAATTATGCATTGACTGTTCCCAACGAGTCTGATTTTGTACGTCTATTTGTCTTTAGATGTCGTCAAAGTTAAAAGGACACAGGCGGAAAATATTCCGTTTTACACAGGATTGCTTTCTACGTGAAAAAGGAGGAGGAAGAAGATGTGATTACAGAATAATCGAGAACGTCGAACAAGAACAAAGATTTCGTTCAAAAGTCGAGCCTGTTTTTCCTGATTTGGCAAAACATGTTTCTTTAATCGGTGCTAATTATCATCATAAATGCTATTCGAAATACAGTTTAAAAACGAAACGTGCAGGTATCCGTTCAAGCTTTCCGCTTTTTTTCTTATACCTGATTCTTTTATTTTTGAAAACAGCAAATAAACAATACAAACAAACGAATCAACAATCAATGGAGAGACTCTCATCGTCAGATGATACTTTATCATTATCCCAGTTAATGTCAGCTTCAAATGAACACGATAATGCGATCTTTAATGATGATTACCTTCCTATCTCTGGTAGGTGGTTGCTCATCGGTTGCTTAATACTAGACTTAGGAAGATTATACGCTTTCCTCCTAGGCAGAAGCGAAGATCTGTTGCAACTTTTTTTTGAAATGTTTGCAATTTTTCAGATTGTGTTGGCTCAGATATTCGTAACATGTATGAGGCAGAAACGAATTACGAATTGCATGACAGTAATTTTCTATTATTTGAACAAGTTTTAATCCTCTACAGCCTATTACTTTATAGTGGAGCAATCGTCTACCAGTAATGCATTTCCTATTCGAACTATATTATTAAGTTCGAGCGGCGGATGAGCAAGAGTAACTACTACTGGTACGTTCCTCGCTAGTGATGCGATGCGATGTAACAATACTTTTGTGCAATTGCAACTGTATTCTTTTTTTCAATTCAGATCAATATTTTCAATTACCTAATCAAATTCCATTTGTGACGTCGGGTTATGAGGAACTTGGTAATATGTTCGGATGAAACTACGGATATACCGAAAAAAGTTAAAACGAAAAATATTAAACGACTAACATTAAAAATCAATCAAATATTTTTCTATCTGAACTAATAAATATTTTTGTTGTTGTATAAAAACTTTGGTGGTGTATAAAAATATTCTGAACGAACTAAAAAATATTTAAATAAGGTGAAAAAATATTTAATCGATTTTTAATGTTAGTCGTTTAATATTTTTCTTTTTAACATTAGTCTATAGACCCGAAACTATAGAGACTGCTTAGCTTGTCCTTACCAAAATAGGGCAGACAAAGACTGTACACCATTACAGTGCTGTTCCCCGCTAAAGTGTAGAACTGCACTCACCAGTCGATGCTCTTCTAATCATCCTCAGCATTTAGCGTTAGTGTCAAAACTTGATATTTTCTTCTAGACCACGTCGTGTTTTCTCTGTGTGAAAATTTGATAACGTTATACGCTAAAACAAAAACCATAACGAAAAAAAATACAAATATCAACTTGATTAGGCATCAAATTAATTCGTTATTCGAAAAAATATTTAAGAGTTTTGATGATATAATAATAATTTAACCAACAACGACAACACATCGTAATGATGAGGAAGTAATACTAAATGCATCAATAAGTGAATTTCATGACACTAATCAGATGTCGCAATCTTCATTGGAAACAACTAAGAACAATAGTTTTGATTTTGATTTCAATCATCTTGATCCTTACTTTTTCAGCGACGAGAACGATGATAATTTAATGTTTGATGTTGATTCAGATACTGTATTGAACTCTACAAAAGTAACAATAAACGAAGCCTTGGTGGTCTACTATACAAATGTTAAAAGACTGCATGAGTGATTACTTACTTCTTGCCTCATATTAAAACGAACTCAGGAAGTGAGTTAGATGTTGTATTATTTTACTCAGTTATGACAGAGTTTGCGAATGGTTGTTAGCAACGCTGAATGAAGGTACCATCATCAAAGTATCCTACGCGTATCAGAAATTAAAGGAATTTGGTAGTCATCGAACACATTACCGAACGTTCGTGGATCGTCTGAAAGCCAATAACCAATATACCATCCTCTACTCAGCTAAATGCTCTGGAAGTTTTGTTGTTTTAGCTGATTTTTCCATTTATCTGAAAGTATTATTACAAAATTTAGTCTATGACAACGATATTATCAGTATTATTACATCACAACCGACTGCAACAAAAAGAAAACCAACAACGTGTTAATTATGACGTAAATAGAAGTATTGTAACAACAACAACCATTTTACGTGAAGCAATTGAAGATTTTAACATGGATTCACCAGATACTTATAAAGAAATTTCTAATTTAGATAAATTTTCATTCGATCCTTACACACTATATACCAAAGTTACTATTGAATTTCATCACATTAATTACTATGAATAAAAACGAATATAAAAAATTTTTGAAAGATGATATAATGATCGATGTTATACAAGATGATGTCATAAGTGATTCTTCGAAGAAACTGAAACAGCTGTCGATATGTTATGATATAATGATTTCTAAAGATAAATCACGATTCAGTCCAAAACATGTACTGTTAGCAATTACTCTATTTAAAAAACAGGTAGTCGAAAAGCGATTGATCTTCGTATGATACAATTCAACGTGCATTAACAATGATTTCAGAAAAAGAGTAAGGATCAAATGGTTTACCATGTCGAGCGTTAAAAAATACATTTTTAATCAAAGTCGTTGTTAACTGTGATTTGAACATAAACTCATCAGATGGAAAACGGAGTATTCACATAATTAATCAGTTATATATTCATCCAAATCGTTCATTAGTTGGTAAGGAAGATTTTTCCTTCTTGTCATAAACTAGTGTAGTCTTCAGAGGTCTTTAACAAACTGCTCAACTATATGAGAATCGAGCCTTGTGGATCACATTGTGATGTCAGTCACGCAAGTTTCTGTCAACATATTGCTTTACAACGCTTTTTTCTTTATCGGTCATCCTATCTCTCATGAGAGAAAATATCCAAGTGTTATGCAAGTTTTCATTGAAATATACTTGATTATGGTTAATTTTAATGCTGATGACGAATATTCGTTGGTCCCTCTACGATCTTATGAAACCTTTACGAGGACTAAAGAACAAGATTTCATAGATTATAAATTTTTTATCAGAAATATATCTTAATTACTCTTATTATGGCTAGATAAAAAACTGAACTTTTTATAAGTCTGTGAAATCTTGTTCTTTAGTTCTCAAAACTGTTCTACCAGAAGTAACTTGACAAGCTCTACAATCCAGTATTATCAATATGTTTTTTGACAAGGTGAGAGATTCTGAAAGGCCGTATGAGGACAAACGATTATTTGTAATCAACATTAAAATTAACTACTGTCTATAAAAATAATAATAGGGATGACCATGTTTTGAATAACTTCTGATCCGATTTTGGGGTCTTATAATCACGTTTACCAGAGAAAATTAACCATGTTCTGAAGTCCTGAACTGGTTGTGATGTTTATTGACTGAATAGTGAATTGTTTAATATTAGGTGAAAACAGCCTGGAACTCAAATTTCGTAAAACTCGCTGTTTGATAGATTTGTAGAATTTTTTCTAGAAATAACTATTGTCACTAGACTCAGCATGATCAATTATCTATAGCCGATCTTTTCTCAAAGCTACCAATAGTCACCGGGTGCCAGTCCTGGGACTCGTAGGAAATCGGACACAACACCGAAGCCACACAAAATCAATTCGCTCGATTCTCATTTTGAAGAGGACATCTTTACCTATCAGACCATGGAGGAAAATCAATACAATTCTATTGAAAAGTTTTTACACGCGGCATGGCTTTTCAAAGATCTCATAAAAAACCTGTTTCAGAAAACACTTACCAAAAAGCTTCTGCTTACGAAAACATGCTTCCAAGTCTTCTCTTTCGCATGGCGAAAGTCGGACCTCTGTAGCTGGCTTCTATCAGAAGTTATTCAAAAAATGGTCATCCCTATCATTTTTTTTTTATTGACAGTACAATCAAGTACGATTTACGGAAAATTGTGCTTAAGACACCCCCTTCCCCTCAGAAATTATCTCTTACACCGTACATTCGATCTTGACGAAACTTTCCATAAATATTAGGCACAATGAGTTACGGGAATGAAAAAATTTTTTTGTCTCCAAGTCTTCCGGTTTAGGAGTTTTCCAGAGATCAAAGTCCAAAAAGAACCTTGAACGGCGTCCCAAGATTTTTTAATATACTTCAGGTTGGAGAGTCGGATTTGTTTTATTTTAAACTAGACACCTAACTACATCGACTGACCGGCGCCGATTTTTCAATTAAGCCTTTATTGGTTTTCCAGGCAACCAACAACCTGCGAAACCCGAAAAAGCCTTCTGGATTTTCTAAAAATCCTCAGTTCGACAAAAAACTAAGACCTAATTCAAAAATCGACGCCGGTCAGTCGATGTATTTTTTTTCCTCTTTTAAACAAAAAAAGAATGAACTCTCTACGACAAACCGCTATTAAAAATCTTGGGGCGCACTTCAGGTGTAACTCTTATATAGCGAAAATGCTATGTTAAACGCTGTATGAAATAGTCGATTTTATGACTTCTAGGAAAATGTCTGTAACTTTTCGATGCAAGGTCATACAGGGTTGTGCGAAGTCTTATTTTGATCAGAAACGTTTGCTCTACAAAGCTGTGTTTTCAGAAAAATTTTAATTGCATAAGTATCCAGCAAAAAACCATTATTTGAAGAGCCATTTTTTCAAGGCTCGTAGAAAACTTGCTCAGAATCCCGGAAAAACCACTTTTGTAACCAAAAGCAATACAGATTCTGGAAGTAGACACTTCAGGCTATCTTTCCATGTGCGTATCTCAAAACTGATTTTTTGACCGAAAATCACCATTTCTGAGGGGACCCGTAACACTTGACTATCTTTCCCCATCACTGTACAAATCCTAGATGAAAAAAAGTGTAACATACCTGAAATGTCTTTTCAACATTTGTAATTCATTTTTTCTTAAGCCGAAATTGTATACATTGTAAACCTGGCATAATTGATGGTTCTAAAAGAAAGTACTTGAATAGAGGTCTTCATCTTGCCAATTTCTCTCTAGTCGTGCACTAATACGAAGACTCTTAAAATAATCTCCAAGAAAAATATTTAGTACTGGTTATTGGCCAAGAGTATTACTCTTGATTTATGTCTATTTCTGACTCATAGTATTGTTTATGGATAGTTTGTGTGGGGTTGAGAAGACTTGAATCTCTGAGAAAGTGTGCAAGACTGCCATCTAATAAACAAAAACCCACATTTTCCAGCAGTTCATGAAATATTTTAATCTTTGACTTTAGGCACAACCGTTACTAAACTTTGTCTTTCCAGAAGATGCTATTCAACATCAGGAAACAAATGCTGTTATCAGTTTCAATAGACGTGCACGAAAATTTCGATGTGAAAGAAGGAAAAATGATGAAACAGGAATAACAATTGATACAAGTAGAATAAGTTAGATGCACCTTCTTTGTATTTTCACACAAAAATCTTAGAGTTTTTTGAAATTTAGTTAGTGGTACACAAAAGGATAAAGAAAATACATGTGAAACTACTCAAAACCGTATACGAGTTCTAGCTAGCAAAACAGCTGTTTTATTAGATCGTACAAATGCAGATAACAATTATGAAGCCAGTCCTATCACACAGTCATCAATCGTCGTTAATAAAGAAGTATTTAAACCGTTAGATAATACAGGTAACTCAGCAGTAAATGGGTATTTATTTGTTTATGCATTATGTCATGTTGTGGAAATCAATAATGAAGCTACGAAATATGCTTTATTATCTGGATTTATGTTTAATTATTTGGAAGTTGAACAACGGTCGCCATCTATTTTTTTATATGGAAACCCACCAGATATGCCCGCCACGTCAGCATCAGCATGTGGGGCTATATTAAACACAACAAAAGCTGAATTTATTGAGAGTGAATATCAAGAAAATGCTGTTTTAGTTGTTGACGAAGCCATTTACGCATCCCTATTGAAAGAAATCGAAAAAAATCCAGTAATGTATGATCAAATGTTTTTACTACTGGGAGACTGGCACTTTATGAAAAATTTATTTGGTATTGTTGGAAAATTCATCAGTGGATCAGGTATGCTATTCCGAAATTGTTAAAACAATAAAAATATGACATCACCTATTACTTACAAGAATATACTTGAAATACCACAGTCATTAGCCCAATAATATAATCAACATTATGTTGCTTGGATAAGGATCTAACATAAGATCGGGTTTTATAGAGATGATTAAGACCAAACTACTTTGTATTGCAAGTGGTTTGTAACTAAAAAATGGATAATATCAGAACAGAAGGATAGAAACGCAACCTAAAATTCATTTTTTTGGAATAATTACATACCGAATTGTCATAAATTGAAAATATAAAGGAAAAAGTAGGGGACCGGGTAAAAAACATTGGAATAGATATTTTGTATATTTTAAGAAATCAAATTCAATTAACCAAAAGTCAAAGTATTGTAAATGATATGGCATCTATTTTTCATATTTAACATTCCTGCAGTGTTCTAAATAAAACAAATAAAATTTTAAAAGTCTTTCATTAATACTCACCAAAAACATTTTAATGCTTACTTTATCTCAACCAGTATAAAAGTAATATAATGATACCGTCCTAAATATTATTAAATGTTCAAAATCATGTTGGAATTATTCAGTTTGAGTCTAAATATATACAGATATGGTTATGTCTACGAAAATTTTCGAAAGCTGTATACGCTCTTGGGGTAGTACTTTTGGTACAGGGCTGGGCAACTCCTCCATTAAATTAAACCTTTCAAAAATCTACTGTCTGAAAAACAGGTGTAATTAATATTCGCTCGCTGTAATATTTTGTTTGCGTCTTCCAGGGTTGGACTACGTTCTGCAAGTGCTATATGATTCAACAGCAGTAACGGGTATACTTGGTGTGTACGACGTTAATAGAACGTTTTCTGCTTACACATTACTATTTATAACGTTATTTATTTTACAAATTGAACAGTTTATTCATGAAAATAAGTCAGAAGAAACAGTCCTAAGAATAATTATTAGTCAAATGAACAGTACGTTAGTTGATACAAAATCGTCAGTGAAAGTTAATAAGAAGCGAGAAACAATCCAGGATGAATTTAAGCAATCAGTTAATTTACTCGACTTAATGAATTCATAGAATGTTATGATCAATGGAGAACAAAAAAAGCTGAAAAAAATATTATGTTCAAGTATTACGATTATTTACTTAACTCTTTGTTAAGACCAATATTCATCCTTTATATAGCAACACGGACGAACGATTTTAGCACTCGTAATCAACAGCGGCGTTACTTCGTTCCTTTTTTTTGCATTCAATCGTATTAATTACGCACGAATGGGATGCCATCACATTTATAAGTTGAGTACAATGGATCAGTATTTATCACAAAAACTGAGTAGAAACTGGATTGTTACGATGTCAGGAAGATCGTTTTCTAGCTTTGCTTGTGATTACGCAATTGAAAGTACTCAAAACAAAGATTTCAAAAGACCAACAGGATTATCTAGGCACATGGATTGCGATCTGAGAAATGCAGGGTGTTTACCATCTAGTTGGTGCGCACAAGTGATTAAAGCAGTTGACGAATTAGCTAATGTTAAAAATTCCAACGATGCGCACATACAAACCACACCCAAGCACGAAAAAGAATCATGAAGCGGGCGTACATTTATCTAGCTTCAGCTAGATGCAGTGAAATACATGAAAATTTGATATAGCTTCAGCTAGATTGAATCTAGCTTCAACTGAGTACAACTAGTCGCCATCGATTAATCGAGCAATTCATTGCGCCGTTAATTGGCCAATGCAGCGGCCGTTTCAGCTAGTACACCATTTCAATCAGCATGTAGCTAGATAAATGTACCTTTTAATCTAGTTAATCTAGCTGTAAGTGGGCGCTGCAGCTATTTTTGCAGCTAGATTTTCTCGCTTACTCAGTTTTGCTTGGGCACCATCAAGAGGCGTAACGGATAATATAGATCTTAACAAAATCTTATCGGTATTAAAAACAGATAACCCATTCGAATGCTCAAACAAGGATTTTCATAAAGGTAAGCATCCATTTACTGGACGATCATTTGTGTGTCCTACACCGACAGCAGGTCGTTACTGTCATTCTTTTTTATTCAACCTATATGCGCAGTATTCTTGTTAGAAATTAGTATAATTTATGACCATTTTAGTATTAAGTGGCATTAAAATATCCGATGATATTATAAATGAATTATGTTTGGCATCATTAAAGTTTTTGTGCAAGTAGCTAATAAATTCATAACCGATCATTTAACTGAAAAGAAGTCCTCAGTTTTTACAACAATAAATAAAGAAAATATTAGATTATTAAATTCATCAGAAGCTCCTGCAAGATCTTTCACCACAAAAATACAAAATAATGAAAAGCTGTTCTAATGTATCGTAGTACATTTCGTTCAGATGAGATTAGTTTGCAAGTGATATCCCGTCACGAATTTGTTTTACCACCGTCGGCATTTATAAATAACGATGAGCCAACATTTCATCAAAAATGTAGCCTTATACCATATATCACACGACATTTTCCACACACAATTAAAATGATCTTCAACAAGAAACATCAATTATTATACTAGATGGAGGCTTTTTACTCTGTAAGTGTGTTCTGTTATTTCAACAGTTACTGTACTCTGCCACAGCCTGGAAAACTACATGCAAAGCCAACGGAAAAAAGACAAAAGTAACAGCTATCTGAATACTGACGAACTGACGAAGAGGAGGGAGATATTATATTTTCTACTGACGACGATTATTGTTTACACGATATTAGTACGGATGAAGTCATTGATAAGAAACTGTCCATTAACCAGTTAAAAGCAAATTTCATAATGCCAAAATCTTCTGATTGGCAAATTATACTGGAAAAGAATCAATCAGTTATTGGTCAAAGTATTTGCAACATCTGGCAAACGCCTAATTTTGATATTCCAGATAAAAAAATAATAATCATATCTTGTCCAGACAAACGGTTAGTAATTCTAAATCATTCTTATGGAAAATAATTTATATCAGACGTTACAAATTAACACTATGATCTTAATGCAAGATTAATCGAGCATGCCTTCACAAATTTTGGAGGATTCGATTCAGATTGTATCTGTTTAAAATCAAAAAGAAATGATTTACTAGCACTCGCTATAGCTTATTCACAATATTTTCAAAAACGATTAATTGTCGATGCTAGTTATACATACCATAGTGAACAAGTATCAAGGTTTATAGATTGTTTGGAATTGAATCGTAATATTCGTCAAAATTACAGTATTTAAAATATAAAGGTATTTCTTGCGTTACATGCACTAAGTGGATCTGAATATACATCGTATATTAGAAATGTTACAAAATGAACACTTTTTACAACATATTTTCAAAATCCAACACTATATAGACATGTGGAAGATCTAAGTATATTACCAGCCACAGCCATTGTATTACAAGACTGTGAAAAGTGACTGTTGAATGTTTTAAAGTCAGCACATAGCACATTCGACGAACATCGATACCATACGGTGAGAAAATGTCCACGAAAATTTGATGACATTAATAATTTGAAAATTTTACCACCAACAACAAACGCTGCTCAACTATACTTTAAACGAGCGTCTTATGCTTTAAATATGTGGTTCAATAATGCACAAAAAACAATTTGTGATAATCATGGATTTAAAATAGTGAACAAAATGCTAACTATCAAATGGATAACAATAGATCTTACACCTAGTGAAAATTTAACAATACACTGTAAGTGTACAACTGGGGGTTGTAAGTATTGTGTGTATGGAACAAAGAACATGAAATGCATTCCAAATTATTGTTCCTGCAACGAACAAAAATGCACAAAACGATAAGTAACTTTCAGAAGTAAGTGACTAAAACTTGATTGCATCGTGTTTCCGAAGGCCGAGCAAACATCATGGCGAAATCTTAAAAAGGTAGCACAATTTAAAAAAATTTAGATATTTATATGAGATTTTCACCGGATCGCATATCTTCTAACTCAATCGCGTAGGCTAAAGCGTTACATAGTATAAGAAATTAGGCGAAGTTTATCAATGGTGAAAATTTGTCGTTAGACATATCTTACTAAAAGGAAGTTCATATAATTGACCACAGTAAGAAGTCCTCTGTTATATTGTAGACATTTTTCTTTACAAATCTATTTAACTGTTTAGTAATCAATATTAGAGTATGATTATTTTGCTTCTCACACTATTGTTTTTCATTATGTTATTGCTTGTTTAAAATTCGTCATACTTAAGTACTACCACTAACGAACTAATAGAAACTATTTTTATTCTTTCTTCAAAAATTTACATTGTCAGTATTGTTGTTGTCACGGTTCTCCTAATGATTCGCTAAATTGTCTATCGATTTGCATGTGATTTCTATTGATCCCGTTTATATGTACTGAAATTCAAATAGAGAAGAATCACTACAATATAGTGAAAGATTAATTTCCGATTGTTTCAGATTCTGTGTTGGGGACGAGCATATTTAAAATGGATCGGACCATAAGAGCTAATATATTCAAAGGTGAGGATTAAATAAGGAGCGGATTTGCTTAAGGGTACCCTCTCTTTTTCTGCAGAAAAATTTTCATTTTGATCTGAACATAGTCTAATGTAAAGGAAAGCTTGGGCCACAAAATAAGACCACTCCCAACTCTCCAGGACCTTCCTCAGAAAAATTATGAAGTTTTTAATTTTTTCCTTCAAAGCTAAGAAAATCTCAATTTTCCAGATTCATGAATTTTTCTCTCCTTTCCTATATATTCAAAAATTTTTCTTATATGTAACATGATAGAAGAAAACGTGCTCTTCAAACTGACATGTTTTTCGGAGTTTTCTGATGAGTTTCCTTGGAGATATAAGCATAGCCGCAAATGCCCTGAAAAACAGAGCCCTGTGCACAATATGTTTTTCTCACGATGCGTTTTTTCAATACAATTGGCACACATTACGCTCCCTGGAAAAAATGGTCCGATCGAGCTCAAAATTTTACTACAGATACTTCAGACCTTATCTCAGGTTCGTTCTTTTAAAAGCGTTTTCGATTTCAGCTTTCGGCGTGCAAAAATTTTCGAAATGAACCTCGGTTTTTACATGGAATTTTCAGTATTTGTCGAATATCTCTAGAAGGAAAGCAGATTTTTCGAAAAGAAAAAAAAGCAGGCTAAGGATCTAAGGTATCTGTGGTAACATTTTGACCTCGATCGGACCACTTTTTCGAGGGGTCGTAATGTATGCCAATGAAAACTGAAGTTTTCCAGAAAACCCATAGAAGAACACGTCAGAAAATTCTGAGCAAAAGTATATCAACTTTCTTTTTCGATGGTCCATCTCTAGTGGTATAAATTTGAACCTGATCCACCATCGGCTTTCCCGATTTTCAGGAGGATAAAAAAGATGGGGAGTACCCTTAAATTCTAAAAATAGTCCGAAAGTTAATTTAACCGTTTTCACAGCTATGTTTTTTTTACCTGAGATACCTCCTTTACGGATCAGGTCGTGTTCAAACATTATTACTGTCCGATTTTCTTTATGTGATTCACCTACGAACCAAAATTGTACTCATGGAACTAGATATTTCGACGTTGCGTCCAAACTTGAGACTTTCTTCGCAACAGCTTTCGCAGCGGATAAGACGTCCTTTACTACCGTCAGGCAACCGTCTCGATACACTGTCGCGGCGGACACTGGAAAAGGTTCGGCCGTGATACACTGTTTTACCAAAAAAAGCGATATTGTAACCGTCGTGACGCCCATTTCTGATGTATAATCGCGGGCGTCTGAACTAGTCCTGAGTGTCTAAACGTGTAACGTCTCCTACACGGTTCAAGCCTTAGAACAATTGACTAGCCTTATGATACCTCTTTAGTTTACCTGCACAGTTTCATGAGGGACATGTTTAATGCAGGTAAATTGGGCTGAATATTGTCGCTCTTCGAATGATCACGAACCATCCACGAACCAACCAAAAGTGAATCCTAATCCAATCAAACTTCTTTTTATTCTGAGAAACCAGTGTGCATTAGAAACATCCATTTCTGATACAACCACTTTTAGCTTTGATATGAACATTGCAAACCGGTTAGCGAACGACTG